ACAAAAGAGCTGACGGTGTTTGAAAATCATGGAAATTTTAAGCCGCTGTCCGCTTGACAGGTTTTACTTCACAACTGAATGGAAAAAGGGATAAAGTTATACTTTACTTTTCTACTGATGAGGTTACCATCATGGTCCATATAGTGTTCCTCTGTCATTGTCTCGCCTGGGATATTCTTCGCTTCTTCTCCCTGCAAGTGTTTGTGGTTAGCGCATGAATATTTGACTTGCTGATGGCTTCAAACATGATGAAAAAAAAACATTCCTTCACCATCACCACACTGAAACAAAACCCTGAGAGAAGAACATTCACGTCAGACAAAGGCTTGGTTAGTCTTCAACCAAGAATTGTGACAAGCTGAGTAGTCCACGTACACAAACATATTTCCACACACACAAAGAGAGCAGGGCTACCAGTACACCCAGCTAGACTACTAAGATGCACACCAGGCCGACCAGCCTAAACTAAACCAAACCACACCACAAGACCCAGCCCGGCGTCGGCTCCAGGCTTTCAGGGTACCTTCAAAATGAGACGGCGTCTGAAGATTCTGGTGGTTACAGTCTGTTCTTCCTCTGAGCCAGATTCTACACTAACACACTGTTGAGGAAGGTATTATAAGATGATTAGTTAGTTAAAAATAATCAGTTAGTTGGTGCATTTGTTGTTGATGTCCTTTTCTGCGCTTCAAGTCCATGTTTGGCTGTATCACAAAAGAAAAAACCTGGAATAACATTGAAGTTTATGTTTCTTTAGCTCAACCTAAACCGTAGATTTTCACGAGTGTGTGAATAACAGGTGAATGCAGCACATTACTGTAGTACAGAAACAAAGAGGTTTCAATGCCACACTCAACAATAGGATCTTTCAGTGTAGTTTTGTTCATTATTGTTATTATTTCATGTAACATTACCTGGACTTTTTTCTCCGACACTAGTGCTCCCTCCTCCTTTCTGCCGTTTGATGATTCCGATGAGCCGTCCTGAGGTGAGTGCTTTGAGTTGTCGCCGTTCTGTCGGGACCTCCCTGATTCTCCCCTTGACGAGGAAGTGATGGAGTCACTAGAGTTCTCTTGGCTGTTGGGTCAGAAATACAGAATTTCATTTTTTATTAGCAGGATAACATAAACAATAAATAATCAGAGGACATTTCTGAAAAAGATCCACTGTAAGAGCAGTAGATTTGAAATTCATGTTGAAAAAAATGTCCTGGGAGACTTAATATATACTTAAAATTGTGTAACACGTTTACCTTTCCCGCCTGTCGAGCAGGTCTGAGCTGACACTGCGGCCCGGCGTCGGTGGCTCCACATTGACGCTGGATGAATCACTGTGCCAACCTGAAATTGAACACACGTCTTTTTCTGCCTGTTCATCCTGATCAAGAACCTCCTGAACCCTGGACTCGGTCATCTCTTCGTCCTCCTCCTTCTCCTCTGAGCCTCCTCCTTCTTCTTCTTCTTCGTCCTTCACCTCCCCCAACAAAGATCCTACTGCTTCTTCTGGGATTTCTTTCTCTCCCTCCTCATCCTCCTCATTGGATCCAGACTCACTGGGCTGAAGTTCCCCAAGTGCATCCACCCAGGCCTGAGGGGAGAGGTCAGGGACAGTCTGGTCCTCAGCTGACAGGTCCCCTTCTGATGTCCCGCAATTATTTCTTTCACCGCCACATAACCCTTCATCCTTTAACGGCAGCCCTGCATCTGTGTCATCCTGGTGGAGCTTTTTCTCATTGTCCCCAGCTTTTTGAACCTCAGGTGTTTCGTCAGTTCCCTCTTTGACAGTCTCTGCTTCTATTACATTACAACCTTTTTCCACTTCACACCCAATTTCTGTCAGGCTACGCTGTTCTTCTGACAGATTCTGCACATCTTTCACCTCTTGTGCCTCACATTCTGCCCCTTTATTTCCGCCTTGAATACAGTCATCCTGCTCAATTACCACGTCTTTCTCTTCCTCTGTGGACCCCGTCTTCTGTTCCACCAAAATGATGCTATCTTCCCCTGGCAGCTTAAAACTATCTTGTATTAACATCTCACACTTTCTTTCCACATCTTTAATCAAATCCTGCTCTACCCACTTTCCCACTAATCCATTTCCCTCCGCTAACTCTGCTGCAACCATCTCAACAACCTTCTCTATTTTTTCTGTCACTTCCTTTTCACGTCCTGCCAAACCTGCATCCTCTTGTACCCCATTGAAGGCACCCATCTGCACTCCTCCATCTCCCATTTGTGCTCTGTCAGGCGATGAAGGGGTTATTGATGACACTGACGACAGTGAAGGGGAAGACGTGGAGTATGCCATGTCGACGTCTAATTCGCACAACGCGGGGAAGGAGGGCGACTTGGGCTTGTGTGCCGGCTCCATCTCTTGAAAAGACCTGTCTTCCTCCTCACTCAAAAGCAGCTGGTCGTTCAGAGCGATGTGGGGCTTTCTGACCTTAGAAGGAACAGGATCGGGGAGTTCAAAAGCTGGGACGGACAGAGCAAGCTCACAGGGTCTGGGGGGGCTCCTAGGGGGGCTGTCTGGCTCTCTGCTACCGGGCTCTATCTCCGGACTCCAGGGCAGGGGCTGGGGCTGGGTGTCGGCCAGCAAAGGGGTGTCTGGTTCTGGGTAGTGGTGCTGCTGGTGGTGGGCAAGGGAAGGGTTGGGAGTGACGGGGAGTTCGGGCTCCAGGAAGTGGGGGTCGGAGTGCAGTGCGGCGGGGGACTGCAGCTCCGCTAGAATGCTCTGATAATCTGTAGGTGACAGGATGACAAATGTAGAGACATACACGCAGCGAAAGCATGCCCCAAAAGAATAAAACACACCGAAAAACACACAAACCCGAACACATACACCATGTGACACGGACAATGGCACAGAGGCGGAAATGTAAAGCATGTAGCCAGCCAACCACTAGCTTGAGAAGACTGTGTAATAGCACTACAATGTAATAAAAGCATATATTTTACATAATGGGCTTGAAAATGCCATCTTAAAAACAAAGTATTTAACATATTATATTAAGCATATATAAGGAAGTAGAATCAATCATAAAAACAATGTTTGTCATGTTTATCATAAGTTGTTCTGATTATCAGAAAGTGTTAATTTAGTGGTTTTCAATGAGGTAAGACATTAAGATTGGGACATGTTAGTGACATAAGGCCAGATTAATCATAGTGTGGGATGTTATGACATTTTAAGATTTGCCAGGGTGCTCTGTTACATGCTCACATGAGATAGATGATATATGAGAGGTATGAGAAGGAAGATCAAGGATAGAGCACATTAAATGTATACTTCCATTTTAGAAGGGTCGGGGCGAGTTCGAGCGGGAGGTGGATTAACTACGGGTGCACACGTGCACTGGCAAACAGGACAGGGAGAAAGGGAGCGCAGAGGAGGGGAAGACGGACTGGGGCTAGGACAACGAGATCCAGAGGGAGAGACGGGAGGGAGAGTGGACAAGGAGAGAGGGGAGACGGGACGGGAGGAAGAGGAGGCCAGGTGGGCCAATAAAGACTCTTTGCTTGGAGAGGCAGTGAGAGAAGGGGAGGTGGTGCCTGGGGTCGAGGAGGGGATGGGTTCAGACAGGTTGGGGGCAACAGAGGAGGGTTTGAGGTCATTAGATGTGGTTTCAGGATTGAGGGGGGCATCAGTCTGACAGGACAAGTCGGAGGTAGATCCAGATAATGTTACAGAAGAGGTGACTGGTTCTGCTTGGTCTGGTGTGGGTGTAGGGGAGGCTGGGGCAGATGTGGGAGAAGCTGGGACAGAATTAGCCGGAGAAGGAATGGGTGACGGAACGGGTGAGGAAGGTAAAGGTGAGGTGATGAGGGGGATTGGGGAGGACAGGTGGGGTGAGAAAGGGAAGGTGGGGGATTGACGAGGGTCAGCAGAGGGGCACTGAGCGTTGGGGCACGGGGAGAGAGGGGAGAGGAAGTTGAACGGCGACGGTTCAAACGTGGCTAAAGGTGCCAAGTCTTTGAGCATGATGGAGGACTCATAACTCGGAGAGCGGCGCGGGGGAAAGGGACGGCAGTGAAGCGCTGAAGTGGGAGTGAGGGGAGAGGGTGGAGGTGTTGGGGTTGGCGTTAGAAAGAAGGGACTGGGTGTCTTCAGGATGAAAGCTGCCTCAGTGCTTTTGGGAGTTAAGGGGATAATTACGCAGACTATGGGACAGGAATAAGGCAAGAAACATGCAGAGGAGACAAAAAGAAACAAAAAGTGATTTGGAGAAAGAGGAAAAAAGAGAATACATAAAAAAGTGTATAATGTGAAACATGCTCCCAAAACAAGACAATGAATGGATATTACGGATGGACAAGGAGTGGGTAAATATTACCAACACATGACTCTTAATTTGTTAAGAGCTGTTATGTGCTGTTATCAGCAGTGGATTCTGCTGTGGGGAGGTGATGGGAGGCAGGAGGAACAGGAGGAGGAGGAGGAGGAGGAGGAATCAGTCTGGTTTCACAGAGGAAGAAATTTCTCTCATCTATCCAAGGAAGGCTCAGAGGAACTGGAGGAGAACTAGGAGAACTAAACTAAATCAGCAGAGGAAAGCAGACTCTACAGGGTTATCTCATTTCTAGTTAAGTCACACATAATTGAAAAAAAACATTTAAAGCAGTATGTAGTATGCAGCATGCACTTAGAATGGGATTTTAACAGTGAATATTGCTCATTTGTGACAACTGGATACTTGATTGGACTTGATTAAGATTAACATTATGGTTAATTCCACTGAAGCCAATTCATTCATTCATTCAGGGTTTTAACTTAAAGTGAAAAGCAAAAAGGATAGCAATGTATTTTTTTTTTTTAGTTTTAACAATACTGTTGAAGCATATAAATCAGAAATGGGGAACAGTGGATACCAGTTGTCCAAACAAAGTCCAAATCTGACTGTAAATCAACTACGATTTGTACTGGGGGTGATACATATGTGATCCATGCATTTTCACAAGAAAAGAGGTAGCAGGAAGAGGTAAGAGGTCAGCTAGAATGAGCTAAACTTTACCATCAGCCTGATCCCGGAAAACAGCGTTATCATCGGCAAAACATCTTGTGCCTGAAATGTTACCATAGTCAAATATCGGGCCCTCCAGCAAAGTCACAATATCCATCCGATTGACTTTGGTCAGCACTGCAGTTAAGGCATCCGCTGTGGAAGAGATGTGAAAAGTGAGGAACCTTAAGAGCTACAAAACAAGATTTGTTAATATAAGCAAAAGTGTTTTACTAATTATAACAAGTACAGTTCCTAAACTGAAGCATGTTGCCTGGATTGGTGCTTGAGGATTTCTGAACAGATGAGAAACAAGAGTGTTGAAAAGACAGACAGAACGAGAGAGAAGAAAACTGGAAGATGACCAAGAAAGGTACTCCAACGGATGATAGATGCTTGTGAAAAAGCTTGGTGAGCTGGCATGAGAAAATCTGTCCTCTCAAGGTGATGAACTTTAAGCCTTAAATAAACAGCAGGACTAAGAAACAATTGAGAGAGAAAAAAGAAGGAGGAGAAAAGCAAAGAGAGAGAGAAAAGTAAGATCTTAAGATATAAAAATAGCCTTACTTGTGGCGTTCTTCCCTTCCCGACTGACCCATTTCTTAAGGAGCATGAAGCTCTGTGCTGTCAGAGAGTTGGGGTTCTCTAGTCTGATGTGGTTGATCTCGTCCACTGTGAAGTTCATCTCCCGAGCCAGCTCTGTGATGGGACGAAAATAGCAACTCAAACGTTAACATATTTCAAAGTCCTTAATTTTATTTATACAGCAAACACACAAATTACAGAGTACATTAAAAAATAACAAATTTCAAAAATAAAGCAGCTTACAACTTCTTTTGCCTCATTACTACATTTAATTTCAATGCTCTCCTCTCTTTTTGTTCTTTTTAAATAGTCTTTAGCGCCTCCTTTCACTGCCACATGATGACATCATATAGCAGAGAATTTGTAGGACATTCAGCGAGCCTGAAGATGGCAGTAAATAATAAGGGTCTGAGACTGACAGGGCTTTAGGGGGAAAGTAGGAGAGAAAGAAAAAGAACAATATGGTATGATTCTCACCTGTCCAACTGAGTCCCAGGTGATCTGCAACGATAGCCATGCGCAAATCGGTTCTCTCACAAGGACTCTGGGGACCTGGGAAAATAGAGGACAATGAACCATTAACACAATTCCTATTCTTCTTCCTCTATAAACTAATGTAATAGAAAAATAAATATGTATAATTTTCCTTTTCTGGCCACTTATTCATCAGACTTCACAACATTAATCATAGCTGTGTTAAAAATATTCATATAACAATGCTTACCAGATTACTGTAATCTAGCTAATTTGTGCAATTATTTCCCAACAATGGCAAGAAAAGGACATTTCATACTAGAGACATTATGGGCAACTTAAATATGTCCATAGAGTAAGTGGTGCTCTGTGGTTGTTTGTGGTATGTATCCTCTAGGCAGGCAGTAACTGTCATGAGAACCACACAAAACAAAGCATAACATGACTCTCAACGACAGACTCATAGTTCTACAAATCTAGGGTGGAAAGGTCTATGTTAGAATCTACAATGTCAACATGCGAAGACGCTTTGTGTGTTCTTTGCCAACACTAGTTAGTTAAAATGACAATTGCATGAGGAGTTCAGTAAGAACAAACTACCACAATAACTCAGTAACCAGCCTGCACAGACAGACAGACAGACCAGGGAGTTGTCAAACAAGAGACTGGTTGTGCCAGTGACCAGTCATTACTACTGGCATGCTCACTCTATTATACAGAAGTTAAACAGGGTTGGAAGAGGGGAACAGAGGAAAGAGAATCTTGCAACACGGACAATACAGTACACAGTACATCAATGACAAAAAAAGAAATTTAAATGACAGCTACTGTTCTGAAGAGAATATGTAAACACGCCACAGGCATTCCAGTCAATCCATTAAACGATCACAACGATGTCATGCAACTAAAAGTGAAATATATAAATATATAGATGTATTTTAAACATAGTGTGAAAGTTTTACAAACTAGGCTTGATCTCCGCGATGGGAGGCGTTCGAGACCCTGTGAGTCCCTGACTGCCCTCCTTCCCACCAGTCCGCCTACTCCTCCTGCTCCTCTCACTGCCGGAGGCCCTGTCCGTCGTCGCCACCTTTGCCCTTACGGACGCGGCCCCGGCCTCAGCCCTCGAACCTCTACCAGACCTGGATGAGCGGGAGGGCTGGGAGGGCTGGGAAGGCTGGGAGGCGTCCGACAGAGAGGTGCTCCGGGAGGTGCTGTCTTCCTCCGACTGCTCTGTCTGCGCCTTTTTCTCCTCGTCTGAAAGGCGGTCCACCAACTTTAGCGTCTCCCCGCTAATGCCTTTAAAGTATTCGATGGTGCGCTTACAAAGTTCACTAGCGTTCTCCTGTCTCTCCTGTCTATTTACTCCCTCGCTTGTCACATTGCTGACCTGATGTCTGTCCTTCAGTGGTAGTCTTGAGGGCAACTGTATGGCTGCTCTCTCTGAGTCCAAAGTCCTCATTGGCTGTGAGGTAACCCGAACCGAAACAAGTGAGCTAGCTGTGGCAGGAGGGCTGCTCTTTTTAACATCCTTGATTGGTATTCTAGACCTGGGCTCTACTTTGGCTATGGCTGGCTCTCCTCTTTTCCTCACCTCGACCTTCACCGCTTGTTTGGGCTTCTGTTTGCCTATGGCTGTTCCCTGCGTGTGAAATGACCACCCTGATGCTTTAACTGGAAGTCTTGACTTGGGCTGCTTCACTTCATTTTCTTTAGGAGTTTCATTTTTCTGCTCCTGTGCTTGGCTGCTGTTGTGCACTTCCGCTCGCTCCTCTAAATCTCGACAGCACAGTGTTTCTATCCTGCTAGCTTTTTGAAGGGTGGGCTCAGAGGAGGACTGCAAATTAAATACCACACTACCACACTGAATGTAGTTGGCCTGAACACTGGAGGACTCAAGGTTATTGTTGTTGTTGCAGTTTTCAGAAGGATAATCTCTTCTTTCTAACCTGGACTCAGTGTGACTGCTAGACTGGCTTTCTGTACATTGGCCCTCTATACTAATGTATTCTGGCACCATCTGACCCTCCGACATCTCAGCTTTACAATCGGTGAGATCCCCTGAGTCTTTTTTCACAGTTATAGAGGCAGCGATGCCCATCTTAATTGGAGTGCGTAATTTGGAATCAACCTTAGAGGCTGTGATTGTGCACGAGGAGGCGGTCTCAGCTATGGCTTCACAGGCGGGGGCATCGGTACCAGCATAGCAAGTGTCACTGCCAGACTGTGCAGGGCTGCATTTTGCTGTTGCTGCTGGTGTTGTTGGTGTAGTGCTGCTGTCTATGGTAGTATCTATAACCTTCACCTTCCCATCTACTGTGGCCCTCTCCCCTGTTTTTGACTGAGAGGAAAGTACCCCCAGGACCTTGCCCCCTCTCCCCTTTTCCCCTGTTTTAGGGTCAGAGGAATGCTCACCAATCTGGAAAAACTGAAGCCTCTCTTCAACAAAGTCCCGCTTGCTCATGTCAATAGCACCACTGCGGGTCATCTCAAACATCTTCCCTTCGTGGAAAGGGAAGGGGTTAGGCTCACTAGTCGGTGTGCTCTCATCAGTTGGTGTTCGAGCAGGGGTTGTGTCAGGTGTTGTAGCCTGTGATTTGTCCTCCACCGATAAACCAAACGGCTTGGGGTCGTCCTCTTTTGATTTGGACTCATACACCCCTTCATTATCAACCCCTTTTGTGGACCAGGGGTCAAAGTCCAGACCTTTGGTGGCAACAGTTTTAAAGGTTGAATTCAGCTCCTCTTCAAGTTGGTAGCCAAAGTAGTTATCTCCGAAGCCCTGCCTATCTGGATGTCTTCCTTCGAGGGTATAATCTTTTTCATCTCCACTACTTTTCGCTGAAGATGTGCTGGTCTTAGTTTTTCCATTATCCCCCCCCTCCTCACATTTCTCTTCCTCTATCACCTCAAGCTTGGACTGACTAAATGAGCGGTCAGTTGTTTTTCCATCATTAGACAGACTAGATGTTTTAGGGTCCTCGCTTAGTCCATCATCCTCATCCTGAAGGTCATACCCGTCTAAAGAGTCTATTTCAGTTGCATCTGTGTCATGGGAGAACTCAGCTGTGGTTGCTATGGAGCAGTCAGTGATAGACTGGTCGTTGCCGTTTTGTTCAAAGTCTGCATCCTCAGTCTTTACAACACCATTGACTCCAGACTCTTTATTGTTTCCATTTTTCTCAGATTTTTTTTGTTTTGGTCGTTTCTCTCCTTCTTCTTTCATTTTGAAGGTGTACTTTTTGATAGGGATGGGATGGAAGACAGACTCATCATCACTCGAGTCGCTGTTATCAGCTCCAGGGGGAATGGGGGATGGAGGCTGGACCCTGATGATTGGCTCAGCTAAGAGGTGCCTATCATGCTCCTCTTGGAGGTTCACCTCCATCATTTCTGTCTCTGCCTCAGACGAAGCACACGAACCCCTTTTCTCAGGGTCGGAATGCTCAGCCTCTAAAGGAGGAGGAGGTGGAAACTCTATATAAGCCACTCTTTTGTCCCTTGACTTCGGTCTCTCTCCATCCTGTTTTTTACTGTGAGTCTCTGGGGAAGCTGGCTTAGCTTTTTCTTTTGAGGGCTCTTTGTAGATAAAGGTCTTCCCTTCTTCCTCCTCTGACTCCTCTGGGATAGGACTTGGCATGCCAGGCATGAAGCCTATCACAGAGTCTGGTGTTCTGGAGGTCAGGCTCACTTCCTCTGAGCTGGGGGTCTCAGGAGTAACAGGACTTTTCCCAGAGCTATCCATGAATGTCACTTGTTCTAGAGTGTCATCTTCTGGACTTCCTTGAGGAGACGGAGACTGCTTTTGCTTGACAGTGTAAAACGCACCCCTAGTCTCATGCACTGTCCTACTCTCATGGCTTACTATCTTTTTGTATGTTCCCAGCTGCCCCGAGGCTGTTTCTTTCTCATACTGCTTCCCTACTTGGATGCTTACATACACGGGTAAGGGTTTAATATCTTTGAAACCCTCAGTGACAACTACAGGAGTTACTTGGTCCAAATACTCTACTTGGTCACTATCAATACCGTTACACACTACATTTGACAGGCTACCCTCTGATGAGTCTGTGGATTTTCCTCCTGATGATCCACGAACAGACTTGTTGGAATCAGAGCTACTGTGTAAGCGATTTCTAGCTAAAGTAGGTATATGAGACCCTGCCCTGTCATGTGGTTCAACAGAGGAATCTAATTTTAAAGAGCTGGATTTGTGATTTTCTGAGAAATCAGACGACTTTCTTACAGGAATTTGCGATTCCGAGTTTTTTTTTAGACTGTCGTTGCTATTTGGACTTTCTCGAACAACAAATTCCGTGTAGATTATTTTCTTAGTTGTTTCTTGTCTTTGGGAATCACTATTACTGCAATCTTTCATAGAATCGTGGATTAAAGAATGAGATAGTTTGGGCGACTGAGGTTTATAGCTGCCGTACCCTTGGCTCTCCCATGTTTTAAATAACTTCTTCTCTTCCTGATCTTTTCCACTGCTCTCATGCTTGGGTGAAAACCTGTTTGATTCACTCCTCTGGTTTCCCAAATTCTCTGGTGTTTTTGGATTACTTGAGCCAGCAAAGACCTGATACACAGGTAGTTTACTTTCCTGGAGTTTCCTGATAGGAGGGTTAGAATTTTGGCCACCCTGAGAACTCCTATCTTGCCTTTGAGCCTCTTGTTCAAACTTTAGCCTCACTGCACTGACTTTGGAGGAAGACATCTGAAATGGTTTAGAGCTTTCACCTGTGCTTCCCTGTGATTTACCATCTCCTTGTTTTCTTGGGTCAGAATCACTGTACTGCAGCAGTACCCTCCTTTCTGGACTGCTGGGTAAACTTGCACACTTCCTGTCACTGGAACTAAACCTGTCTCTAAGCCTTTCTCTGCTCCACTCTTCCCCACTACTCCCACTTCTATAAGTCGACCTCTCTGGACTGCTGTGCGTCGAACTTGGCCCTGACCGTGATTCTCTAAAGTCTGGTCTGCGAGACTTCTTTTCTGGAGATGAGAGCTCATCATTGAGCTGTTCTGTTTTATCACGAAAGAACTGGGACACCTCACTTAGTTTTTCTTCTGCCTCTTTTACAGTCCTGTCCACTCTGTCCTCATACACAAGCTGCCCTCTGTCTTTACTCTGTGTGTCATCTGACACACGCATCCAAACAGACTGCTTTGGGCTACCAGGCTCTGAAGAATACTGCAAAAGTGTGAGTTTGTCAAAGTTATCGTCAACATTGGCCATTCGTCCAGATTTGTCAAAGACATTTCTCGATGACCTAAAGACGTACTCAGTTCTTGGCCCAACTGATCTACCCTCACTGTGACTGCTTCTGTCTGGTGAGTGGAAGCGAGACCTGTCTCTCAGATATTCCTCCGTGTCAGAATGAGATTGGTCAAATTTCTCAGAAAGTAACATTTTCTCTGCAAAATTGTAAGATTCTCCTCTAAGCTCTGATGATTCATCCTCATTGTACTCTACAGACTGCTGGCTAAGTAGCTTTAGAGTTTTGTAGGAGTCATCTGCCATGAGCTGGGCTGAACTAGGACGACTGTCTTCCTCCTGTGATAGAGGTGTGTTCACTCTGGGGGAGTCAAGGTACACTGGAAGTGACTCCTCCGGCTCTTCCTCTTCTTGTCTGTTCCCTGGATAGTAGTACATTTCCTTCTCTGCATGGTTTTTTGTCTCTCTGATGATGACTTCTGTTGGTTCCGCTTTATTTCCTTTTTCAATGTGAACCTCAATTATTCTTTCAACTTTGGGCTTGGAGTTGATGTCCTCGAGGACTCTTTGTGATGTTTCCTCGTTGCCAGACTTGTGTTCAAATAGTCCAGCCAGCTCTCTAGAGGGGTCCTTGCCTGATTGAAAAGCCTTCATTATATCATGCACAGACATCGTTTCCTCACACCTCTCAGATGCTGCTTCTTTGCCAGGTGGTTTGTGGTATACCATCCTGGTGGTGGTAGTGATGTGAGTTTCCTCCTTCACCCTCATCCCTTTTCCCATTGGATCCTCATCTGGGCTGACTTTTATTGAATAGCATTTATTCTGGTCTGGAGTTGATGGAGCTTGACTCTGATGCCCTTTAGGATCTGAATCAATATATCTGACAGGATGTGCATCCTCCATTGCTGGTTGTTTGTTGTCTTCTGGGGGTTCATAACTCCTGATGACATGGACAACCTCAGTCCTAGTCTCAGTGATCACTGGTGGAACTGGGATATCCTGAAAAAGGGCTTTGGGACCCATGCCCTCTGCACTTTGAGGAGCAGAGGGTGTCCTTTCACTTCTAGTCTCAAAGCCACTGTCAGAGAGGGGACTTTTATCTTGTTCATGTGAGATATCATCAGGGGATTCTAGCACAGTGTCTGCTCCAAAAAGTGCATCTGCTACTTTACTGATCTCTTTGTCTGAAGATGAGGATCGCATGTTTGTTGGAGGCATTTTGAGCTTATGCTCCTGAACTGCTATGGTGGGTTTTAGGACACGTTTCTGCTTCTCCTTGCCCTCTCCTTCTCTTTTGCCCTCATCAGCTTTATGCTTTGTGTCATGCATTTTGGAGAAAGAGTTGCTGCCCACATCATTAGCCAGGTAGTCAACCACTTTGGAGAGATTAAAATCTCTATCAGGTATTGTTTTTGCTTTGACCTGAGGAACCACAGTCTCATATCTTGGTGGATAACTCCAGTTGCTTGGTGGTTGTTCAACTTGTACTTTTGAGAAGTGGATATCATCCAGTGAACCTCTCGCCAGGGAAACCCTACCATCCTTCACAGCATCTTTAGTAAGAATTTCGCTCACTTTTACCAAGTCTTGTTTTACTTTCTCCACAATCCGATACGGCTCCTCATCCTCCATCTTAGCCTCTTTAGGAGAATCTGACTGAAATCCTTTATTGGCTGTGGAATTTGGGTCTGTCTGCAAAATGGCTGACATTCGTATCAAGTCCTCTTTCATTTCAGCAACATCCTTCAGAATCTCTTGACTGGATGACAGTGGTGATGTGGTGTTTGATTTCAGACCAGCAGAAAACAGAGGGGCTTTGATAGGAGAAAGAGTTCTGGCAAAGGAAGACTGTAACTGAGCATTCACCTCAGGAGGCACAGTCTTCCTTGGGGACAGAAGAGCAGCAGCTGACTTTGACACCTCGGGTAACTTTTTGAACTGGTGCTCTGGCAGCACATTAATAACAGAGTACACTGGAACAGTCATTGTGCTAGACGTTACAGCGGTGGTGGCATTAGGAGGGGATCTTAGAGAGGCGTAAATTGAATTTGAAGCTGAAGATCTAATGGACTGATATGAGGAGGATGCAGAAGAGGACATGGACTTCAAAGTGCCATAGCCTGCAGAGCAAGAATTGAATGTTTTTTCAACTTCATCAAAGGCTGCATTGACACTTGTCGTTGCAGCATTGGTGGTTGCTTGTATTCTCTCTTGCAGGCTGCTGGTGAGAAGAGATGTCGGGGATGATGAGCGGTACTGTGTAGGTGACACGGTTCCATTGATCAGAGCTGCAGCACTTGGAGAGGGGTTGGATTTAAGCGGGGATGCAAGAGAGGAGAACAGGTTTCTTGCAGGGCCAGCAACATCTGAGGCAAAGGAACGCACAGAGGAGAGACCAGGGACTGTTTTTATAGGTGAGGAGGAAGATGCTGTGCCACTAGAGCCTCCCATCATGGTCTTGTACGGCAGGGGTGAACTGAACATACTCAGAGAGGATTTGGGAGAGGTTGGTGGGGTCATTCCCATTGATGCTCTCTCAAGAAGAGGACTTCCTCCTCCAGAGACAGTTATAGGGGAGGTCCTAGCGGACAATGCCGCCAATCCTTTCATAGATAAGGGGTCTGGGGCACTTTTCCCTGGTGAAGCCAGGGGACTGGGGGCAACCTGGACAGGGTACTGGGCTTGCTGGACCACAGTTTTTATAGGAGAAGAGATGGTTCTGTAAGATCGGATAGGAGAGGCCATGTCACTAACTGACTTTACAGAAGAGGCAGGTGATCCAGGGATGTTGGTCTTGATGGGGGAGGCAGAGTTGATGGACCAGACAGACTTTAATGGAGAGGCAGAGGGCGTGTTGGATGACGAACTGGAGAGGGAGCCAAACCCAGACTTGGCTTGGCCAGGGACGGCGACAGGAACAGGCGACCACGCCTGATAAGATCTCGTTGAAAAGACAGGTTTGTGAGGGTAGCTAGAAGGCTGTGTTCTCGGCGAGCTTCGATCAGTTGTTTCTTCAACAATAATTTAAATTAAAAGCAATAAGGAAGCCAACATAAAATGTAACGTAAAATAATGTGAAATAAAACATAAAAACCAGAAAGAGAAATTTGAGTCAGTCAGAAAGGGCATTATTCACAGCAGAAAGGCAAAATTATAGACATGAAATCTAAGTAAGGCCCATATGACAAGTGAGGATGACTAATGACAAAATACACTTGATACAAAATGGAGCTTGGATAAGAACAAAAATGTTTGACATGTGGTAGAGGTGATAAAAAAAAAAAAACGACATGATAACCAAAAAAGAACAAATCCATTGACTTTTGATGTGCAGAATCAATTTGCCTCCTTGCAACAGTGCCTTTTACTGTACATGTTTGATTAAATTGTGTTTATCCTTTCATTTGGTACATTTTGAATGCCAGATGACCCCACAAGTGTATATAATTTACAAAGAAAAAAAAAATCACCTTGTTTGGTCATGACTTAAAATATAATATGAGGTTGCACTTTACAGAGAAGTAACAGTAAATCCGTCAATCATGGCTGTCCAGGAAGCTAAACCGAGACATATTTAAACTGGTCTCAGTTTAGAGTTGTATCAACACTTCTCAAGACATTAAATCTTGTCAAATTAAACATTGGAATAATAAAACAAAGTGAAGACAGAACTTTAGATTTTTTTTCTCTGTCCTGACAATTCACAGTATGAAAACTGCCCCTAAAATATAGAACTGTTTGCATGGCAAGGTATGCCAGTATTTTGCAAACGGCTGTAAATATAAAAGCGCTACTGTAAGGGGACATCAAGTTAATGTAAAGTGCAACCTGTTACACATTATTATACACAGCCACACACAATCATAAAGCCAATAAAAGAGTGAAATGGCCACTATAAGAATGAGAACAATTCAAAAGAATATTTTTATTCAACATGAATCAAAACATTTTTTGTTCAAATGATAAATGATCAGACAGACATTGATTCCCAGTGTTTCCACAAATGTAAAATAACATAACAGTTGAAACAGGGAGACATTTTTTTCTTCGACATGGGGTGGGTAAGCAAAGCGTAACATAGTAAACCATGCAAATGTTTGATGAATGACAGATGACATAAGAGTATGTGTCAGGTGATAAGAATAAATGACTGATGAGCATGTTTGGTCAGGTAGATCTCTTTTTTGTAATATATGTATATGGAAGACATATGTGCACTATATAATGGGACCTTCAGACACTAAAACTACATAAATATCTAAAATCAATTAAAAAAATTTCATGTAAGTGAAAATGGGGAACTCACTCGCTGCTGGGTCGGTCAAATAGCTGTAGCGCTTACGCAAAGCTAAGGAGGCAAAGGTATGACGTCGTTCTGGCTTTTCAGTCTGAAACAAACAAAAAAGAACAAAAGATGTTTTAACATAAAAATATGGAGAAAAGTGGTGCTAACCTACCAGGGTTAGGTCTGAATATTAATGTTAGATTAGATACTGCAGTGCATGGATCTGGCCTGTTTTAGTGGATCAGTACATGCTGTTAGTGCTGCCACAAGGAGGCACTGCAGGTGTGCATTAGTTTCTCCTCTGGCCCTGTTTCTCTTCACTTGCTGCATGTCTCAACTGCATTATAATAAAAGAACTGCAGACAGTATGCGCTTTGTCTGTACAGTCCTCTACAGTTGAGGGGTAAGCATGACCAGAATTTAAGCTCTCATTTAAGTACGTTAAAGAAATGTTCTCTTGTCTTGAAGATGTGCTCCTCAGTTCATCATCAAATGTTGTTATTACTATTAATAAGCTACGGGAATGTTCATATTCTGCATTTTATGATTTACAGGAGAGGTCAACATTCAATGTGAATGCAGTTAATATTGTTCCCTTTATTTACAAAGTGAACTAGTGGAGGTTGGCTTGATAATTGTGAGCATCGTGTTTATCTTCTAAAACTGTGACATTACTTCCAGCCTCTCTCAGACAATGTAGATTTTTTAAAACTATGACTATAATCTTTTGCAACCCTGAACCAAGATATTTGCTTGTTTTTTGACTTTATTGTCATACTGGATTGCAATGTACGGTTATTGTTGGAAAACTTTTTCCTTTAAAATGTCATCATTGAAATATAGTCTGGCTGCTGAATTATTATTATTTTTAAAAAATATTATTATTTGTTTATCTATTTCTTATAATGTATATTCTCAAACATAAAACAGCCCTAACTTCTTTTTTTATGAAAGTCTCCTATAAATGTTTTGGCATGCAGCTGAGATTGTTAGTAGTCTTGTTACAGCCAAAGACAAGGGTGGAAAACAAGGGAAACCCCAAATACAACAAAAACAATGACTAACTGGACAAACGATAAAAGTTAGGGTTACATCTTTAGCCGACAAAAGATACCATAGTCCCTACGAGTTAACAGTAGTGATGGGATCCTGTTGGACATGTATGGAAAGGAAGATAGAGATGAAAAACAAGCCGAGATGTGGCACAGCAATTGGCTCCACTGGACTTGGGATGGAGACAACAATAAACAAATCCCTTTGCTGTTCAAAAAAACTGCCATTTCCACTCATGCACTACATGGGGTCACTTCAGCAATGACGTGTAAGAACACATGCGGTCAGAAGCGTCTTCCACACACATCTTCCAGACAAAAAAAAACAACGCGGCGCGGGTTTACTACAGCGTCTGCGGTAAAGCCAACGAAAAGGACGACAAAGAAGAAGCAGTTCCATGTGATGATGAAGAATCTGTTTACCTCATCATCAGGATCAGACTCCATATCCTGTGGTATTCCAAGATGCATTGCAGGAGAGGAGAGAGATGACACAATGGAGAGCAGGGGAGTTATAGTGAGCGGGGAGGTGGAAAGAAAACTCAGGGAATGAAAATGGAGCAGCAAAAACAACAAAAGGCATCAGAAAAAATCTATGGGATTAATCGGAAAATAAACAGCAAAATAACAAAAAGCAAAAGCAAATTACAGTTTCTTGTGATCAATCAACACCACAACAAACAAACAAATGACAATATAGATAATTTTTTTTGCATAATTCTTTTGTACCCACAGTGAGCCAGGCAATAGAACGAAGCACGATGTGCATGTGTGGCTGCATGTGTACGTTGTGGGGTCTTATGACTGGCACAGGCTTTCACATTAATAAAAGACACAAGCAGCAGGCAGTCATTTCTGGACCAAATGAGCTTCAATGGCTTCTCTGGATGTCGGGACAACATTGCTCTCCGTCTTTGTTTACATGGAGATGATATGATATGGCCTAAAAAGGACGAACAGGTCAAACATGGCCCTCCTACCTTCTTGTGAGTTGGCAGTGTAATATTCAAATTGCATATGGCAGTCTGTGGAAGGCCTTTTGTGGTTTTTGGCTCTCTCAGGAAGGAGAGGCGGCCACATGGCTCCTGTCCCATATCTCTGATCTGCGGGAGACAGCGAAAAGATTACATCACCAATGTCCGTGCACAGTATATATATAAAAAAAGCTTTTATTCCCAATTCCAGGATGAGAAATGTCTCTATTTTTTCTATCTAAACCTATTGCACAATCCTAAAATTCAAAGTTGTCAGTGCTTATATAAATGTAAAAATGTAACTGCATTCAATTTGTTAGCATGCTTGTGAAAAACCCAACAGCTGCAGTGCATTTGAGTGAATCCTAACAGCAACTTTCACTTAATGAGATTAAATACAATGCATCAGATACTGCAAAGGACCACTTCCATTTCTGTGAATACAACCTAAAAAGGGAAGGACAAATCTTTCTGGCGCCTTTAGAAAGGAGACATCACTGAAGAACATACCAAGTAAATGCTAGCAGACAGAAAGAGTGATATGAGGAATATATTTTATACCTTCACATTGAAAGGAAGTCTGTTTTCCTTGAAGGAGTAGAAGTTAAAAACCAACTGCTGCCCACTTTTGGCGAGAGGGGACAGGTTGCCATAGCAGTCCACATGGATAGGCTTGCCCTCGAGAACCTACATTGACCAAAAACGTAGTCATTGTGGTGATGAGGTTGTTGAAACTGATATCACATTGCATAGATACATATTGGATTTATCGGTTCGTTCTTTATTAGACTCTCGTACAGCGTTCGCACGTCCAACACAACCCCACCTCGATGTCTTTGCTCCGGGCCACTTCCTCAAAGTTCTCCTGCTGCTCGAGCGTCTTGTCCACCTTGTCGTCCGTCATGCAGAAGCAGCGCAGCCGAGCCTCGATGGCGTCGTTCATCTTGGCGAACACCACAAACTTGGCCAGGTACGGCACGCAGATCAGCTCCCGGTATAACTGAGACGCTAGACTCACCGTCTCAGGAATCTGGTGACAGTCTGCGAGCCAGAACCTGAGGAGGTAAGAAGAGACGAGAGGAAGGGTAAAAACGCATGAAAAGAAACTGAAGCTGTTTTTGCATCACACAACTTCGTAGGGATGCAACACTGTAGTGTAGGAAGCCTTTGTAAGTGACTGTGTTGGGGTATTTCTTTCCAAAGGTGCACACAGACACATGACAGCTGTGTAGTAATCTAATTACATTGTACCAAAGGGTGCTCTGTTAATATCAGGCTGCACATTCACCACATGATTCAAATGTAGTTAGGAGGAGAGTTTATGACCTTGTGTACTGTAGGAAGCTCGCTCAACATTCAGCGATGTATGGCTGATGTGACTTTGTGTGACTTGATTAAATGTGCAAGTAAGTGTAGGGGCACGGAAAAATGAAAAAAACACTGTGAAGTATCTAGATTGAGTCAATAAACTGGAGAAAATTGAGATAAGACAGAATTGTGTCCTAGTTTGAGAAATTATTGGAAAAAATGAACCAGTACAATTTTGATGATTCAGGAGGCAACTTAATAGGATTTGATTTGAATATTCTCATTGCTTTTCACCATTTTAAGGTGATGTTTTGTTCCAGTGTTTTAAAACTCCTTGAATTTATGTGTTGTATCTTTCAGAGCTAATTATTAGTGTCACTATCAATTAATCAGTCAATTCCAGTCTTAACTTCATATTTCTTAAATAAAAATGTCAGAAACAGCAAATAAAAACGGTCAAAGATCACATATCTGGCATGTTTCCCCTTTTAACTCGACCACATATACTATGGTGGTTTTTAGTTTCCAATGACACCTTTAATTCCTATTTTTCTGTGATGAAATGATTGAAACACACATTTCCAGAAGACCTATTTATGAAAAAAAAACAAAATACATGATTGTTTTGTTGTGACAAAGCTGTATGTGTTTCAATGATTCCATCACAGAAAATTAAGAGCTACAGGAGTCATTGGCAACTCAAGAATGCAATGATATACATGGTCTTTGCGAGAGTACATAAACTTTAGTTTACAGCTGTATAGCGCGGATCGTCAGGTACTTCTTTTGCATTCAAAGCTATTAGAAGCTGCTTTTCCATCAAGGAAAATAAGAGAACTAAGACTTCACCATGGTGAGACAATGGAGAACCCAGCAGGGCAAGAAACTGTCAAATTAAACCAAAAAAAATCACATAAATTGAAATTCCATATAGGTTTTTCTTATAATATATTTCATTTTCCTACATAGGAAAATGAATAAGTTACTCAATTTATATAGAAAACAAACAAACACTGCAGTGCTTTTACAGTGTTCCACTACATAATCAACAACCCAACTACACAATAAACAATTACTTTCCTTATCAATTAATCAGCCAAATGTTGAACTTGAGGTCAAGTGGAAAATGTCTATGAGCAAGATGGCATCTACAAATGTAAACTTCAAAAGATTAAAATATTCTGATAAAAGATGAAAATATCCATGTTTTAAAAACTGGAGGCAGAAACTATCTTTAATATTTTAGAAATGTTGAAAATTAAATATTGACCGTCATAGTGCTACTAACATTGCATTCAAAACACTCTAGTTTGTATTTATTACATCCAGCTCCGGTCTACTGTCCATAAAGTTTTGTGTGTGTGTGTGTGTCTCACCTGGCCGACACATTTGTGGTGAAGGAGACACAGTCGGTCACGAAGGACAGAGGTGTGGTTCCTGTGATGTCCTCCCACTGCGCAGGGGACGTCCCTCCTGTAGGAGACAGGGGCCAAAGAATGAGCTCACTGCCTTTCCAGCCTGCCTGGTTTATTTAGCTTTTATAAACCCCCATCCTTTTATCTTCTTAGTTCTTCATCTTCTCTCTGTCGACCGGTGGATTCTGACATCAAAGTCGACCTGATGTAGCTCGAGCTTTTCGATTCAGAGTGACTCATGTATCATAAATAGATTAAAAAGTAAATCTGGTGCCACAAATCTAACAAATGCAATACAATGCCATGACTGTCAGGCTATCTTTATTACATAATTTGGACTTTGGTTGGACCCGCAGGGGCGAATTGAAGAGCTACAGTGCTGTCATGCTCTAGTAATCTACCGGTCCACTTGCCTGTGATGCTGCAGAGCAGACGCAGGCATGGTGCAGCGTCGCCTCGGTGGCCGCTGGGATGGCCTTCTGCTGATCTAGGTGGGACGGGGATCGTCATGGTGATCGGCTTGTGGAACTTCCGCCTCCTTGGCTCCACGGTGACAATGGGGCTGAAGGTGGCTCTGTTGCCAAGGACGGCCCTCGCCATGTCATCTGGCACAGGCTGGGCCTACACAGGGCAGACAGACACCAACTTAGTCTGTAGATTCAACTTCCAGAAATGCTCAGTCAGACATTTCCTGAATTTTCTATCAAACCGAAGGATCCAGGCATGTCAGACAGAATCCAAAACTCAACCAAAAATAGGTCAGGTATAAATAAATCATAAGCCAGTGGGCTGTGTTTGCAAAGGAAAAAAAAAAAAGCAGAGTCATGGAACAGATTGAATTCGAGCTGATCGCAGGAGTCCGACTGTACCTGCAGGCCAACACGGATCCTCTTGGTGAGCGCCCCCTGTGGGAACGAGGCCTGAACCATGGGCACGGTGCTGCTGGACAGGACGCCTCCGTCAGGACCCATGTGGTTTGACTCCTGTTTGATCCGTGACACCACAGCGAAATACTGCGGGAAATCTCTGGTGACGATGCGACAAATGCGCTTCTTCTCTAACTCAGCAGGACTGTCCAGCTCTGTGACAGAATGTATTAGAAATGTGATTTTAAGCTACATTTAATGATTGTAAATACAAATTCAGACTAAATAAATGCTTTCAAATATACTGAGGTATCACATGCCATGACGAAAAACAACACTAAACTGGCTTCACACCTTGAATAAAAAAGAAAAACATGCTTCTGTTTGAAAACCTGTTTTCTAGGTCACCAGCTGACATACAGCCCTGGGTTGTGTCGTGTAGGTTTTCCTAAGTGGTTCAGTTCACCTTCAACCACTGACTCGTTGCAGACATAAAACTGTGTCTTGTTGGTAAATGTTGGACCACCTTAAATAACCTTCACTTTACCTTCATCCATTCCACCCAGCAGCTCAGTGAGGTCTTCTGGCCTGGCGTCGGACTGGTGCTCCTTCCACGTGTCGCCATTGTCGCTCCTCAACACAATCAGCTCCCTCTCTTTGCCCCGCATCGAACCGAAATGAGGGATCTCCACAATCACGGGGCTGAAAGGGAAAACAGAGAATGATTGTAATTAGCTCTGTCAAACAGACGATTAGAAATCCTCCCCTTTGATTCGACTCTGCTAAAATCCTACCCGAGGAACTGAGCCCCGGCTGGTCCGACCTCCACCAGCCGGCTGACCAGCCCCTCTCCCTCCACCATGGGCGGGGGGTAGGCCAGCTTGTGCCTTTTGGCCAGGCGGCAGGTGATGCGCGTGGGAGCTGTGCACTTCCTGGGAGGGATGATGATGCGCATGCCGTTGTGGCGGCTGCCTCTCATGGAACCCCCACGGGCGTCCACCATGAAGCTGACCAAGAACCTGCAAGATGTAAAAATTCAATTTCAGAAAAGGAAAAAAAAAAAGGAAACAAGAGAAAGATAGACTGAAGCCACGGACACAAGTGAGGAGGACGATTCCCATGCTGTGATCACCGTACACCCAAATAAAGAAAGGAAAAGACAGAAGTTTGAAAGGAAAAAAAAAAAAAGAGACAGAGGAAGAGACAGGACGATAGAAAGAGGAAATAAAGACGCTTTGAGTACTGAAACTTGGCAATTCTCACCTTCACTTGCCTCAATTTGGAACATTAAGCACTGTGTGAAACTAAACAGGGTGCTAATGAAGTTGCAGAAAGTTTAGTTTCCAGTTCTGAGGCTGAAGGTGAGATTGTTGGCAAAGATTCAGTCCCTCAAAAAGCAGCGTTCAGTGATCAAATATTAAACACCTGCACAGATGTTTCACCTACATACGGTGTCCTATTCTTCAAATTAAAAGCACGTTTTAGCATCTCGTTAATATAATCAATGACACAAACGTGAGTAAGGATAAAGTTGAATGCAGGCATAGGTAAAGTCTGAATATTAATAGAACAAACTACAAGTAATTAGTCCTACGCTTTCTTTTTCTTAGCTGTATGTTGCAAATAGCAGAATCCCTGTAAGGCTGTTTTATTTTTCTTTACAAAAGATTTAGTTTGAATGTGCACTGTGAGAGAGTGAGAGAGAGAGATGGCACATCAATGAAAAGACTCCCAAACACGTCGACTACACACACTTCTACTATCTAAGCAGTGCAAATGAAACACCACCAGACCACACAGATGAGACGAGCACAGACTGGAGAGAGAAGAGACAGTGACGAGATGAGAGGGAGACAGAGGTGGAGGAGTGAGTGACATCACTGCGGCATCATGGGTGAAAGCAGCGAACTCAGTCATCACCTGGAGTCATACTGAGGGAGCGGGGAGGAGAAGCTGCAAAATAAACACATGGAGACAATGCAGGAGGCAAACCCCCAGAACCTAGTTTTAGTATCAAAGTTTCACAATCACTGTTAGGGATCTGTAATGACTACTGAAGATGAAAGAAGATCAAAAAGCTACCGGGGTTGGGAAAAAAAATCAAAAAATCAAGGGGAAACAGAATAAATAACCGAGGACAGGAGGATGGTGACGAAAATAATATAAATAGATGGACAGAACTCACAGGGGGATAACAATGAGTTAAAAATAGAAGTAAAGAACCAAAAAAACTGCACATGACAGATCCCAGTATTTCATTTCTAAGTAACACCAAAGAAGTTTTCAATTAAGCTCTGTGCGAAGACAGCACTGTTTATTTAAAGCAGGCCTTAACACTTTATGATGTCATATATTCAAAGTGCGCGAATGACATGAAAGCGAAATCTTATCGGCTTATGCAAATGAAACACCGCTGTATCGTGAGCCCAACACAGAGTCTGTAGTTTGTCTCTGCAATGGTGGAAATAGCAGGATGTCAGGGAACATGGGGGGTAAGGGGGGGGAGGAGGCAGACCTCTGGACCATGTCTCTAGACTTATGGTATGACATGAGGGCTTTAGAGGATGAAGTGTGTGCTGTAATGTAATGTGTAAAGTAGCAGCACTGCAGAAATCCCACAGCCCTGCACCTTGTCTGCATCAGTGCTGCAGGGTTTGCTGAATATTGACTCTTTGGAAAAGGGTGGAGGGGTGGAGGGGAGAACAAAAAACAATACAGTTTTGTCCAGTAAGCATATAAAAATGTGTGATTTCTGCAATAGTTATACGGATGTACATGCAGTATGTGTCTGTATATACACGCGCGCCCGATAACTTTTGCATTTACTACAAAGCGTGTGCATGCTGGTGAATATATATATCTTGGCAGATCGGATGAGACGGAACAGCTGTTTCTTACCCAGAGTGGATGGGGCTGGACACGGTGTTGTGGCTGTGGTCCATGGTGTCAGGGGTCCAGCTGTAGCGCCGCATACACTCCGAACTGTAGTCTCGGGTCACAGCGAGGTGCTGGGAGAACAGGATGAAGACAAGAGGAGGTGAGGAGAAAAGAAAGAAGTGATTTAAGAGCAGGGGGGAAGGTAAAGAAAGGAGCAGAAGAAGAAGGATGAAAAGGAGAAAAGTCAAGATGGAGGAGATGAGAAAGATCAACAACCCTCCCATCTTTTTTCTCGACTCTTTTGTCATGCATGGTATGAGACAATGAGCTTTCACAGCTTCTGTTTCAACAGCATTTGTCACCACAGTGTCACCACAGTCAGGACAAAATGACACAATAAATAACATCCAGTAATTCTCTCACTACGACTTTGCAGTGGTCATACACTGAAATGGGAAACAAGAACATGCGACAAACACTAACAAACTGAAAATCTGCTTTAATAAATGATGTGAACGGTGAATCATGGAGCTCACGTAGACTGCAAAGGAGCATGGGAACGACCATTCACTAAACACAGCACGAATGAAAGACATGGCACTGACCCAAAACAAACAAATATTCAAAAAAAAACTGAAGAGGAATGGGAGCCGGACCAACGTGACGGTGACTGAGAAACAACAACACTGACGAATGAGTCAGACGTCCATCAGCAGTTATACCTTATTGAGTGGGTCAACCAAGTAGGAAATGTCTTTACAGACACTTTGAAGCTTAGGGAAGAAGAAAAACAGTTCAGAAGTCGCTCTGAGGGCACTACGCGGTGAATTTATGGTGATTTGTGCCACTGAAGGAGTTCGTTTACAGCTAAAGAAAACATGATGATTAGATAATATGTAGGCTTCTATGTGCAAACTGTCAAAACTTTGCCCACTAATGTAGCAGATTACGGTACGATGGCAGTGAAATTGAAATGCAAAACAAATTCGAGCCCATGTACAAGTTCAGATTTATTCCATCCATCCATTATCTATACAATGCTTAATCCTCACTGGGGTCGCGGGGGGGGGCTGGAGTCTATCCCAGCCGACCCTGATTCATTAAACCAGTATAAATCAGTATCCTCTTTGAAGGAAAACATTTGCTTGTTTTCTAAAACAGTTAAGTGCATATGGTGGTTATCGATAATTTGAGATCCTCGGTGATGTTGAGCCTAAGAGTATACCGTTAATATTTCTTGTGATGTAAGTGGTTACAGTTTCTGTTTTTCTTCTGACCACCAAAACAAGTGCTAGACAGGCAGGATGAAGTCTGCAGAGCTCTGCGGTTTTCCATGAGAAAGCAAAGGGGGCCTCTCAAAGCCCTTAGGTTTGAATAAACTCTTCGTGAAGGTGCTATACACTCACTCTCAGCACTTTGGCAAAAGCAGGCCTGGCGTTAACACTACTTCTGTTATGACCTTTGTGCAAGACAAGTAAAGCTACCCCTGCTCCCTGCTTTAATCTACCCAGCCTGTGTTTTTATCAGGCCATTGACAGAAAGTTTGAAAAGCACACAGTCAAAGGTACCGAAGAGGGAGCTAAACCGAGAGAGAGAGAGGGGAAAAAAGTGCAGAGGGTGACAAACAGTGGAGAAAAGAAACAAAAGATGAAGAGGGTGGTAAGAAATGGATCTTACCGTGTCCTTTGTGGGGGCCAGAATCTCTTCAATCATCATGCTGTCCCGCGCGAAGGAGCTCCGGTTGAGTGTGTTGGACCTATCCGAACTGAAGGAGCGGAGGCTATATGTTACCACGCAACCCAGCGCCGCGGGTAACAACAAGTGACGGGCAGGGGAACACGGCATAAAACAAAAAAGGAATCCATTACTATATGCAACCTCCAGGGAAACGTGTTTTGACTTTTGTGGACAGAGGAGTCCAAAAGTAGGAAGGCGGAAGAGCCCGCAGTTAAATAAGGATCAGATACTGCAGCAGGTTATTCAGAGATGGAAATGAGAGTCACAGTTTGTTTGCATTAAGAGATAGCAGGAAAGAGGAGAGGATGGCAGTCTAGAGGAAAACAAAGACTACTGTTGTGACTATTTCTACATGACTGTGGTTGTGTCACGAACACGGATGTAACTAAGCGTCTAAATGATGAACCGTGTCAGCTCAGTGCACCTGGCAGGCAGGTGAGAGAGTAAAGTTGACAAATCAGCGTAGATCTTGTGTTAATGACAAGCAAAAGATTCCCTCAGAGGTATTTCAACCGTTAATCCGACTTGAGCTCAAAGACTGACATGTCTTTATTCTAAGATTAGCTGACCTCGACCTGTTTCAGAGCAGCAAAACACAAAAAGGGAAGCTGGTCCTTTCTATCCGTCTTGCTGCAGCAGTCTGCTTTATGGCCGTGTGTGGTGAAGTGTGCCTATTTTTGCAGCCTCTCGGGCTCAATGCGGTGCTGTAGACTCCTTTCAGGTTTTTTTTTTCTTTTTTTCCTTGTGCTGTTTTTTCACTACAGGGATTTGATCAGTGCAGAAGAGCAAAAAATGACTATAGAGTCACTTCAAATATATGTTCTTGTGTGCATTGGCACTAGGCAGTGTGTTCTTGCATGTTTGTGCACGATTAGAGGCTTGGAAAAAGCATATAATACCCAGCCAACAAAGCTGACAACTCTTTGCCTGATTCCCTCTGAGTGTATACTGTATGTGTGTATTGATGCGCCATGTGTGTGTGAGCGCAAAAGGATGGGGGGAGGACGGGTGAGCGAGGGAGGGAAGGGGGGGAAAATGCAGAGCTCAGCGTGTTTGAGTGGGCACACTATTCAGCACAGAGAGAAGCCCTTTATTCAGCAGAGCCTGCCTACCCCACCATCGAAGTTACCAAGCAACTCTGTACAGACTGAATGGACTCGCTGGCATGGCAGCTAACTCCCCTCCCTCTCTCCCCCCTTCCTCCCTCTCCTCTGTTCTCACCCAGACCCTGTTTGTTCTTCACAGCTTCCTCCCTCTTTCTCATTCTGTCCATCCTCCTCTTCTGCCCCAAACATTCCCCTCTGTAGTTCTTTCCGTCCCTCTTGCTCTCCCCCTCGGTCGTCCTCTTTACTGTCTATTTCTGCTTCGCGATGTCCCATCATCTCCTCCGCTCGCTCCCATTTTAGAGACGTGTTGCTGCAGCTGTACTGTGCAGTTTACCCTGCAATCCACTCGAAGGAAGACTTTTTCCTCTGTCTTGCTACATCCCTCCTCTGCCACCTTCCTTCCTCTTTCCACACCTCTCTTTTCATACTCAAACTGCACTGCCCCCTTTTTTCTTTCTAGCATCTGCAGGGATACATCAGTGGGTTTTAAGAAGGCATCTGCGCGGACTCAAAGAGACAACTGAGTCATCCATGTGAGCGTTGCGTAAACGCATCCGAGCAATGTGTCGTGCTAGCGTCAGTCGGGGGGATTTCTAAAAGTTTCCATCTCTGCAAACCATATTTTAACAGCAACAATCGTCCCGAGTAATTCTGGGACATGTCCAATTACAATCGTGTAAACAAAGTGCCAAAAAAGAGATGGTTTATCGATTAAAATGATGTGTTTGATCCCTGGAAGTTACACTTGTCGCGACACTCCAAAAACACAAAGTGCCGCTTAAGAACAAGCCACATCAAAAATGTCAGGGGATTAGTCCACAAGGCTACACGGAGCACGTCTGCTTGCTTTTACTTTCTCATGTCCGGCAAGACTGCCTCTTTTCCACACCTGCTTCGAGAAAAATAAACACATTTTCCATTTTGCAGACATGATGGTTTTGTTAGACTGATGAGAAAATAAGGTGAGCGGTGGATCGGCTAAGATGGGAGTGATGGTTTCAGAATACAACAACAACAACTGGACAAAACTGCTATCACGAACACTGGATGACACCGATGTACGATGGATGAATTAGAGGTTTTATGGATGGAGGGGTTAAACACTATTTTAGGGAATCACAAGGGGGAAGAGTGACACCAATCACAGCTGATGTTGGTTTCTACTGCTACTACAACTGCTGCTGCTTTTCTTACCTGATTCTAGGGCTAGAATGAGGGACAGGGTGCAGGAAAAAAAACAAGGAAAAGAACAAAACAGAAGAGTGAAAAGCAAAGCATTTGGAAGACATTCGAGCATGATGCAGCTTCCTTTTTTTTTTTACCGCGTGACATCGATGCTGTGCTTTTGCATGGTTGCGGCTACAGGCGGGAAAATTTGCCTCATTTTTTTTTTTTTAAACATGAGTTCGTGTTTGTGTGTATGCAGCCCAGTCAAAAAGCAAACCATGCAATGTCGATGTCATAAACGGAAAGGTAAGGAAAAGGAAAGAACTTGCTCAGCATCATACATTCCACTGATCAATAAATTAGTTTATACATTTCACAGCGTCACAGTCACACTCCTGCAAAGAGACACAATTTTAAGCACTGTTTCAGCTGACAAACTCTTCCATTAGCAATTACAGAAGAGCGGCTGTAAAGTTTCTGAGCGGGTTTTGGCATCTGGGCCTGCATTATAAACACTTTGGATGATTTTCTTATCATTTCAGCATTTCAACCTGCGAACAACGACAGTTCAGTTCGTCAACTCCGCCAGAACTCTTTCCAAAACCAACCCCGTCAAACAAACATGTTTACGAGGGACCTCTCTATTTAATTCAGTGTTTCCCTTGTTTGCTGCGCCCTGCTGATGTTAGCAGCTTCCTGTCACAGTCAGTTGTTTTTTTTTTCTATCAAACCAGCCATCACAGTGGATCTGCCATCTGTCAGCGTGGCCACAATACACTCTGGGGGCTGTACAGAACTTGTCCTGTTTGCTGCTGATGTGTTTTCACTGGAGCCTGCCAGTTTTCCACTCCATACTTTGTCCACTATTTGAAACTGTAGTCGCCCCCCCTTCCCGAAGTGCAGCTGTTCACTCGAGAGCATCGAAAGGTATCAGCTTATGTTATCTCTTTGTGTTGTGTGCCACGTACTGCTGGCCGTTTGTAATTTTTTATTTTTTTTTGCCCGCGTTTGAATGAGGTCACATAAAAAAAAAACGCTGAATCACTTTGTCAGGTTGAATCATTGGATGGCAACTTTCCAGCTGCTTTCTCTGGCGAATTCCATTATTGTGTTTGTGTGTTTGAAAAGAGAAGGCTTTACATCATACATATATATAATCTGCTCCAGGGCAACACTACACAGCTTCATAAATCTGTGTGCTGCCAGTGGTAAACACGATGTACACACATTTCAGACACACATTATCTTGCAACAATCTAAGGACAAGTTGGGTCAAGTGGCTGACAGCAGTGCAGCAGAGGGCATCAGCAATTTTAATGTGCATCTAATATGAATGACAGGTGCCTACCTGGCTGAGCGGGCTCCTATGCTGAAGCCCATGTACCCCTCCTGAGGGAGGGAGTCATCCCCCAGCTCTTTGAGGTCCTGAGGCCGCAGGTATTTGTCCGTGTCCCCGGTCATCGCATCCTCACCTGGTGGAGGGGATGAAATCATAAGAAATCCTCCTGTTAACTTCTAAAAAAACAACCAATCCAGCCAAGAGAGGCGATGCGGCACCCCAGCAAAGACAAACAAGCCCTCAGTGCCTCCACCAGTCTCCCTCTTATTTGATTAGACTACTCAGAGAGGGCCTTGGAGATCCATCAGCACCAAGCATAGCCCAACATAGGCTGCCTCACTGCAACTACATAGCCCACTGCAACTTTTCCTCCAGTCCATTCTATTTGACAACATCAAGCCTCAGCACTGGCACTGTTTTCACAGGTTAGACAACAATCACATGAGAGGAATGCCATCAGACTCAGCAGCAGAGCCACTTTGCGGTATATCTGGAGCTCTCCGGTAAAACCAAACGCAGCTCCTTTCACAAACACTCGCAGCCCCCCAGCGCAGCAGCAGCAGCAGCAGCAGAGGGTTTTAATAGCAATCAGAGGCAGACAAACGACAGGCAGAATGAGAATAAGCACAGACAAAAGTAGAGAACCGCACCGCACCTCGATCGGCGGACCGGTGGACGATGACACGCCGGTCAATGAAGCCGCCGGAGCGGCTACAGTGTTTCCCCTTCTCCCTCATGTCCGGCTCTGTCCTGCCTGCAACACTCTGCTCCTTCACCGCAGCCCCTCCCTCCCCCTACCTCCAGCACTGCCGCACTCCGATCACACACAACACCAGCGTCAAGCCACAGGACACCCGGCCTCAGCCGCTTCCTGTGGTGCTTTTCAAAATAAAGCTAGTGGTGGATCTATGAGCAACATGAAAAACACCGACTTTTCAGGTACTAATCAGCAACAGACAAGTTCCCTATGAGCAATAAAGTGAAAACAGACTATAAATAAGCAACTCAACTCTTCATTAGGCCTGCTTGATCACTATATTTACTCTTTTATAACTGTAATGGCGCCAATAGTCCCAAGACTAATCTCAACTGAGAAGAGATTGCTGTAAACGTTTAGTAAATATCTGTTTGAATGAAGCGAATGAGGACAAATGTAAACATAACTTTGCATCACAAATCTGCTGCCTATGCTTCGTTTTTTCTGTTAACCCTCCATCAAACCAGTTTTTTCTATTAATGATAGAATCATTGTTTTCCAATACATAGACATGTGCAATGTCGTTATTTTCCACACATGCAGATGCAATATCTGAATTTCCACATATGGAAGAATCTGTACAGCATCAATAATACTTATGCATATTTCTTGTTTATTTTTACATTCTAGTTCAGTTCCCTACACGCAACACTGCAAATTTCCCCGCTGTGGGTGTAATAAAAGCTTATCTTATTACTCTTGGATATTCATATATTTTGCATACTTAGATGCACTCATCATGCTGTATAAATCTAAGCACATTTATACGGTCTTTAAAACTATTCCGCTTAGACATTTCCCATTAAACTACACTGTCACTGCTTCTTTTGCACTTCTGATTGGATGCTAATCTGCATTTTATTGTTTTCATAGTAGTACTTTGTGCACAATAAAGTTGAATCTAATCTAAACTCTAAAGAAGCTACAATATCTTATAGAGTCTGTTGCACCTTTATTCTACAACACTAGCACAGAATAATACACAGTGTTACCTCTATGGCATCCTTTCCCAAAACTACAATCAATCAATCAATAAATAAATAAATAAATGAATAAGAAAGAAAACTAACATGCACAATATCACCTTTCAAGATAAACTGCACCGCTATAGCTTGTCTTATTTTGATGGTAAACTTGATGATCTAACTTCCGGTAATTTTCTAGCTATTTCTGTCTGACTTGACACAACTGGAGAACAATCGGCTGCTATAATAATGTATCATCGTCCCATTCAAGCTCAGATACCACACACACACACACACACACACACACACACACAC